CCCTGTGCAGCCGCCGCCTCGGCCTCCTCTGGGCACCGTCACACAGAGGGGCAGAGAAGGAGAGGTGCATCTCCACGCGGAACAGGCGGACCACTGCTGGACAGCAGATGGGGCTTTTCCCTCCGAATGAAAACATCCCCGTCCTCACTACAGGGACTGGGGGAACGCTGCGACTTGGGAGGAAACGCCACCCTCCAAAAACGAGGAAGTTAAACCGAGGTTCTCACTGCTCCAGGACACAGCGGGCGAGAGCAGAGGAGCCAAGCCTGGTGCCCTCCAGTGCAGCGTTTCCTCACTCCCCTCCCAGCAGAGTGGTCCAGACTCTCTCATCCCTCTGCTTCTACTGGAAGCACTTTGGGATCCCAAATTGCCATAAAATCATGGATTCAGTTCATTTGTGTGATAAAATAAAATACGACTATGAAATCAAGAATGATTATTCATATGCAAGCAGATGGGAGAGGGGGCTCACACTCTTCTTCTGCCATTTTGATTTTGATTTTAATTTCAGCCATTCAGCTCTGCTATTTCTTTTTAGATGGACTTTTATTTAGGTTGTTGTCCTTGTATAGTGTTAACGGGGAATGCCACCTCCCACAAGAGATTTGTTCCACTATTGCCTCAAGATCACCTTTCATGTCAAGTCATCAGCGACTCAATGAGAAATGGCCGCATCAACAATAATTTCATGCACGTATGCGATATAAAAGCAGAATGGTCATGGCTGATATCGAAATGCTCTGAGAACCACCCAGTTATTCTTCTGATCATCATATCTCTCCCCCCCCCCCCCATCATGTCATTTCCTTCTCACCTTTTCTCTCAGAAACCAAAGTAAGGAAATTAAAATGACAGTATCTCAATCAAGCTGCAAACAGCTTTGAATAATATCTTCCCTCTGTAACACTTACGATGACGAGAAAAAGCATTTTACCAGTTATATCCTCTGTGTCGTCGGATCCTGCATCAAAATTTATGTCAGGAGAGTCGACACGGATAACGGACTTGTTCAACAGGCGGAAGGCTTCTTTTACATGCTTGGGTTGCACCTTTAAAAAAAAAAAAAAAATTTAAGTCTGCAAACAACAGTAATCAGGCCTGCGGCACCAGGATCTTATTAGGGATCTCATTCAGCCAGGGTATCGGCTTCAGCTACATGGCTGGGCAGCTTGTTTCACCCTCCCGCCATCGTTTGTGTAAGGAAGTCCCTCCTGTTGCATCTCTGTGCAGCTTGTTGAACAATGTAGGTAACTTGCCGTGACCTCATCACCATGGCCACGCCCCCCCCATCATCACTACAGACCACGCCCCCCTCACCTCTTCGCTGCAGGACATGCGGGCCACGCCCCCCTCACCTCTTCGCTGCAGGACATGCGGTCCACGCCCCCCTCACCTCTTCGCTGCAGGACATGCGGGCCATGGCTTCCGACAGGCGGATCATGCTCTCCAGCTGCCGGACCGTGATGCGCCAGGCCGACTTCGTCGCGCCGCCGCCGTCCCTCTGCCGCAGCCGCTTGTACTGCTCCACCACGAACTCCTCCGCGTCCTTGGTCAGCTGGGCAAAGGGGGGGGCAGAGAGGGGATAGATGCCGGTGACCAACGATGCAGCACCGCAGAAACCCAGTATCGCTCGACTGGAGCGGGAAACACGGTGGCTGTGGGCTCACAGCTGCTCAGAAACCTTCGCTTGACCCCTCGGGGCCTCTGCCTTGAGCCCTCGTCACCGACCACACCGAGAGGCTTGTGTTCCTGTGCGAACTGTAAATGTCGATGACGACGAGGGTAGCCTTCAGCGGCTGAAACACGGAAATCCTTCCTCACCAGGAAGCATGGTTTTCACTGCATATTTAAACGTCTACAATAATATCACTGCCTCTACCCACATGATCTATAAACCCACGTGGTGGGTCTGTACACCACGGGCAAGCTGCAGTTAGGTACTTTACGAATCATCTGGACAAAGATGGCGGTGTTCATTCATCCCTACTAGCCGACTGGTGACCAAAAAGCGAAAGAAGCAAGTTTTTGTCACCTTTTAACGACAGATGAGATGACGCTGTGCAACTTTTGACAGGTATCCCAGTTTAGAGTTAAAACATGCAAATTGAAACATCTGAACGCTGTGACTGATACCCGTTTGCCCTTGAAAGCAATCTTATTTATCTGCACACCTTTGAGAACAGTGTTTATGTACCTGCTGAATTAAAAATCTCCAATAAGAAAGGAGATCTTTAGAAGAATTCACTAAGTCTATGTTCTCTCTTTTCTATACATTGCCCTCTTAACACTAAATGTAGCTGTAAAAAATTTTTTAATGTACAATTTATCCCCACCAACCAAGAAAAATGCATTTTCTTAGTAGTGATTCATAATTCAGATTCCCAAGACCAGCCTCAGTCATTTAAATATTTATGCAAATAGAAGCAAAATGTGTATTCTTTCATAAATCAATTGGCAAACCAAAAAGGCTAGCTATCTACTGTAGCTACTAACAGACACAACCTGGAAGATCACTGGCAGCTAAGCATCAAGATCGTGATTCCTGTCTGGGGGGACTGCAGTTTCTGGTTATGACAAACAGAGGGCAACAGAGCACTAACAAAAGGCAGCTCTTCTTTCAGCATGTTTCAGGATGAAACTAGGAGGCTGATGAGACTGTGCACTGAGCACAAATCATGCTTACTTTCGGTTGAAACTGGCGAGAAAAAATAATATATCTCTGCACGTCTTCAGTGGAATACACTCGCTCCACCGACTCCATGTTTCTCGAATGAAGGTCCACAATCCTTCTAGCGATGGCGTAATCTGTAACCTGAAAGACCAAAACATCTGTAACAGAAGCACCCTCTACACAGTATGAAGTTTCTCCTTGGACCATTTCTTTTGGTGTGCTTCTTTTAGGTATTTTGGCTTTAAGGATAAGATTTAATGCTCCCAGCTACATGAAGCCCCTACACCAGCCCCAGAAACGCCACACAGAAGGGCTCCGTCCCGGGTTCAGCTCTGGTGACCCGGACCCCACAGGCTGGTGGGAGCACATTGCACAGGGCCAGTCAGAGTCACGAGAGTCTCTGGAGCCCACTGGGCTCCTGCCTGCTGTAATTTTACAGAAAAGGCAGCTTTAGATTTGCTCAAGGCATCTACATTCAGCTGAAAAATGAATTCGGAAGGGATTCCAACAGGACAAAAAACAAAACAAAAAAAAACCAAGGAAAGCAACAGCCAGAGACGGTCAATCAGACTACTGCTGCAGTAGGAAATGCAAATTTAGATTTCAATTAAGATATCCTTCATGTGTTCCTGCTTTCAAACCGACAATCTGTTTCTTCCTGGATGTCTCTTTGGTCAATTTTATCCAATTAAAATTTTACATTGAATAGTTATAAATTTTAAAATGGCTTTTCGGTGCAGCGATGACTGGTACGAACGAAACTGTAGAATTTCTTCTTCAACCATCTCTACTCATGAATTATGCGAGGGGCCGCTGAGATGTTTAAATTTTGAAAAAACGATTCAGAACGAGAAAGATGAGATGAATTTCAATGATCCAACACGCAGATTGTTTTTGTTTTTCTGCATTTGACATGTTCTTCTTGCATTCCATCTTAATGAAATAGCAAACTACAGCAGCTGATACTATTTACATCACAATCCACCTATTCCGAGAATATAATTCCAATAATCAAAACAGTTGGATTGCAAATACGACCCATTTCCCCTTCACACCAATAACTAAGCAGAGTTGTATTAAGGAGCAATCGATAAGCACCGAGAATAACACATGCATTTCCTATTAAACTGGATGTGCTTTCTGGAAGTCAAAGTTTGCAACGTCAGCTCAATTTGCTAAAAAAGGACAATTGTGTTTATGGGCCCAGCTCGAAATGAGGGCTACATTCTGGCTTGGTGTACCATGTTCAAGTCACGTCCAGGAAAAAAAAGGACAAAATGATCACTTAATAATGCAAAGTTCTAAATACTGTCAGAAATGTGTTTGCTGAATGGGAAGGGGATGGCTGATACAGATGGAGGCTGTAAGCAGTGAATTTGTTAAATGTATATATACTGTATACACAGTATAATACACTTTTGTGCTTTTACTTATACCAATTAATGTATATTGCACCTGTGTCAGCCATTAGTTCTACTGTTAACATATAAAAACAATGAAAACCCAGTGTAAGCAGTATAAGGTCAATTCAGTTAAATTTTGTGGTGTTGTCCCTTATTAACATAACAATATGCTGCCGTTACACCCTTCACAATTTTTTTTAAAACATTTTGGCACACATGTTTACAGTATAAACGTCAAAATGTTTGAATTAATAAATTGAAAAAATAACGACCAATATAAACTCTGTTGCTCATCAGCCCTTAACAGGTCAATGAACGCAGAACAGTCACAATTTTTCAAAATCTCCATATAAGGACTGTAGTGGTCATTTATACAGCTAATAGGTCAGACCACACAGTGGCTGTCAAGATTTCGAACTCAGAATCGTTGTTCTTACCTCATTGCACTCATCTACTAAAATAAAGAAGAGATCAAATCTCGACATGATGGGAGCAGTCATATTGACATTCTGCTTCAAGGACTTGGATCGGTTGTATCTCCCATCAATTGGATTCGCAGCCGCCAGAATGGAGGTACGGGCGTTGAGCGTGGCCTAGATTGCAAACAGATGAGAAATCAGCATCGATTTATCTTCGACAGCCCAAGACCGACCATTCAGCACTTAGAGGCTCTTGTTCGGAGGAAGAAACCGGATACCTGCCAGGCATTCGATCCTGGAACTACAAGATCAGCGAGCCGAAGGGAAACATGACAAAGGTAAATTTCTGACGGCTTTTGAGTTGAGGGTGATCAAGGTACATTAGAAAACCAAAAGGACTGTGAAACCAGATCCAACTATTTCGTTTGCACCTGGTACACAACAGATCCTTGACCCAGTTCAGTACAGCTTTGTTGACCTCTGTGGATTAAAAAGTTATTAATCCCTTATCCTTTCATTCTGAAAGGATTATATTTGAAAAAAAAGACGGGTATTAAAAGATACCCTTTTTAATGTCTTGGTAGTGTAAGCAGACTTCATACATAGTACTTATTTTTGTATACCTTGTATATGTTGGTTCCATTAATAACTTTAAATGCTATCTTTTTACTCTGGCCACAAGACTACCTCTTAATTCACAAGGTGCATTTTTGTCTTAAACCAATAAACTGCTAAAAGGGTAAAAGCACCTGAATGCAGTACATTAGAAATCTATTTTTATATTTACATTTTTTTATTTTACAAAGCAGTACATGCACACCTGGCATCTGCAGGTTGTTGTTTGTAAAATAAAACAGATGCTTAGCTCAGAAACTCAGCCTAGTAAATGGGGCAGTGTAAGTTTCAGAAGGACAACTTTTCTTTCAAGGCAACTTTGCCAAAAATCATTTCATACCCAAGCAATTTAACTTCATCAGGGTTTGGCTCAAAGCAAAAGCCCCTGATCTGAAGGAGGGTCAGACAGGCCCCTCTGACTCATCTACCCATCACTCCTTTTTCCTTGTGACACTCGATAAGCTGCACAGCAGCGCCCGGCTGTGCGTCTCTCCGACTGCTACCGCAGTCCTGCAGTCCTGCAGGCGCCCAGAGAGCTGCAGGCCCTTGCAGACCAGTGCTGCCTGACCCTGCTGTGGGCCCCGGGGAATCCTGGTCACACCAGGCTCAAACCCGCAACATCCGGACCGTACGGCTCAGCCTACCACCGCGAGAATTTCAGACTGAGGGAGAAAAAAACAATATTGGGGGTTGCGAGAGGTAAAGGGTCCTAGTCTGAGCTTTTGACACAAGTGACAAGAATATAGTCCATAGTCTTTAAAAAAAAAACAACAACAACTTGTAGTGTGTTGGGCAGGAGTGTCGCCCAGCGCTAATGGCGTTACGTCACCCGGCACGCGGTGTCGCTGGTAACGGCATGAAGCCCCCGTTGGGAACTACCTTGACTCCAGCCTTGGTGATGGAGATGGTTTGCTGCTCCATGGCCTCGTGGATGGCCACCTGATCCTTGAGGTCCATTTTGTCAAACTCATCGATGCAGCAGACGCCCTAGTTAGAAAACCAGCACCGGAAGGGGGGAGGGGGGTCAGCCCTCGCACGAATGTCGACTCCGGTTTCGACAGGGGAGCATGGGGGCGGGGCGGGGGGGGGTACCCACGTTGTCGGCCAGCATGAGCGCCCCAGCCTCGATGACGAACTCGTGCGACTCCTCGTCCTTGACCACGGCGGCCGTCAGCCCCGCGGCGCTGCTGGCCTTGCCGCTGGTGTAGACCGCGCGTGGGGAGAAGTCCTCCACATGCCTGGAGCAAACCACAGCACAGTTAACACACACGCCGAGATAGTGAATTACAGTCATGTAGACCTGCTCCAATCCGGCCAGCGATAAACAATCCCTAATTGTTCTGGAGGGATAAAGAGAATCTCTCTGGGCCCTTGGCAGAGAAATACGATACTAGCACACAACCCTCACAGTCACACGAGGAGAAACAGCGTAGCCCTTTCTCTAGCCATTAAGATTTCGAAATGTTTAGAGGGACCGGCATTCCAAACTGGGCGAAATCGCAGCTGTAAATGATGAAATGTCCGCCGTCTGGCAGCGCATCGTTTTCAACTCCCTTGAGAAAAACCTCATTTTGGAGCACGCTGCTGCTATCAAATTGTTACAGACCAAAAAAAATGTAAACCAGGGATACAACGCTGAATTTGGAATATTCCCGTGTTTTTTCCCCCCACCTCCCCTTTCCAACATTATTTAGCGAAATGACGACAAGACAGATACGGACTGTCCATTCTCATTATAACTATTGGTTTTTTACGGACGCCATCGTGCCGTAGTCGAAGTTCTGGAGATTCCTCATTGAATAAGAAAACGGACCCGATTCCCACCGGAGGATGGCGGCTCTCTCGCGGATTCACGTGGCTAGGGGCGGGAGCCGCGAACCTGCTGCACCGACTCACTTGAGGAACTGGCTCTTGGAAGTGCTGGGGTCCCCCACGATGCACACGTTGATGTCGCCCCGCAGGGAGGTGCCCTCCATGGTCGTCTTGGCGACGCCCCCGAACAGCATGAGCAGGATGCCCCTCTTTATCTCATCATTTCCTGAAGAGCAGACACGCGGCGCTCTTTAAACGATCGCCCCTCGAATTCTCAAAACCGCAGCGACGGAGGCGGCTTAGCTCGCCTCGCTGCAAGACCAGCACTCCACAGCCGGCGTGGCGCGCCACTGGAACGAGGAATGGCGACGCCCAGGCCGAACACACTGCTGGACACTACAGGCAAACCTTCAAACGAAACTTTCCCTTTGAAGTCTTCAGTCTGAGCATTCAGGTTTTCAATAACACTTTACGCTTAATGAAACGTGCATGCATCGTTTTGTAATTCTCAAAGGGAATGAAGACCGTTGCAAGGCTGTTGACTGTGGCAGTGATAGAATTTGAATTATTACTTTTATAACGAAAGTGAATCTCACTGGGCCCATGGCAAAGAAACATGCTGTATCACAGCTTACAACTCATACACCCAGACAAGGAAAAGCAATGTAACACTTCTACGAAATTATTAAGATTTCAACATGTTTAAAAGACCATCATCACAATTAAATGACATCCTAAATGTAAATGTCTGACTTTACCAGAGAAGAAAGCAACAGTACCCTTTGTTTCAGACCTTCTGTGAAGTTAGGAAACACTCACACTGCATCAGAAAACACGGGAGTTCATTCTTTGCCTCATGATCACTATGGACTACAGCGGAGCTGGGGGATATTCTTAATTACATTCAATGTACAACTTAAATGATTAACACAATTGCCTGGCTTTATGACAATTTACTTCGGCTTGTAACTTCTAAATGCAAATAACAGACCAGACATCAATCATGTAATACAGAAACTGAGCAGATTGATTTGGCTGCCTAGCGAACCTATGCAAATTAAAAACAATCCCATTTTGCAATTAAAAAAGATAGTTTGCATGAAAGACTTCATTTCGTATTGGAAACAGATACTGTACATTTTTAATTACCCATGAAGAAAGTCTGAGACCCAGGAGTATAAAAAGTTAGTATTGTATTAATACTATACTTGTTAGACAACGCATATTTAGCATATCATTTAAGCTAAATAGTAGCATACCAAAAAATTACAAAAAGGGCATTTACAATTTATTTTCTGCACCTTTTCCTTTTAACCATTGTCTTTTTTCTGAATGTGAAGAGTTGTGGAAACATCACTGGGGTCATTATAATTTTAAGAAGAACTTATGGACTAATTAAAACGTTAGAAAACATCAGATGAACAAAATAAAATGCAAACCAAATTTCCAAATATATCAGCATCCATTTGAAAGCTCAATGCAATACAGCAGGGATCTCAGCATTTAAAATCACTTATCCATGAGCAGTCAAACAAGTGGTGAGTCCAATCAAGTAATTTAATGACAGACTGAAATGAATTAGAATACCCTTCAGTCCTCCAAGACTGAGTGTTCCCTTTATGGGAACCTTACTAGCCTAATTATTGAAAGATTATGAGCACTGGACAACAGGCGATTTGGGGAGACTTGTAAGAGTAACTGCATTTCAGGGCTCCAGACCTCTCTGCACTATAAGATGTCTTTAACAATAAATGGCCTTCAAGAATGTCAAGGCTAAGAGTTTTACTACTGTATTTCCTTCATGTGACGATTTTCCAGGACAGCACCGCCTTTTCTTTTAATAAATTATAAGAATGTCTTACTTATACAGCGCTTTTCTAGATACATCACTCAAAGCACTTTCCAGGTCATGGGGATCCCCTCCACCAGCACCAGTGTGCAGCCCCACCTGGATGATGCACCAGTACACTCCCCACACACCAGCTCTCAGTGGGGAGGAGAGCAAAGTGATGAAGCCGGTTCATAGATGGGAATTATTAGGAGGCCATGATTGGTAAGGGACAATGGGAAATTTGGCCAGGACACTGGGGTAACACCCCTACTCTTTTCGAGAAACACCCTGGGATTTTTAATGACCAAAGAGTCAGGACCTCGGTTTTACATCTCATCTGAAGGACGGCGTCTTTTTACAGTCTAGTGTCCCCGTTACTATACTGGGCACTAAAACCCACTCAGACTGCAGGGTGAGCGCCCCCTACTGGCCCCCCTACTATTTATTTCAGAATTAGTATTAGAAATTAGTATTGTACCCTCCTTTACAGGCCGTCGGGAAGTGCATATCTTACCATGAATGGTGGGGAACATGCTGGTACACAGGTTGTGGTAGAGGTTCTTGTCTTGACTCATCTCGAACACTTTCTCCCACTCTTGCAGAGTCATCTGATTCTTAATGCTTTCAGCTGTTTGATCTTCCTGACGAAGTTCCTTCCCGCCAAACTTAAACCCAAGAGCAAGCGGACACCGAGTGAGAATAAAAACGAAAACTCATTCCGCATAAAACAAAAATGACATGCTTAAAAATAAGTACCACAACAAACCATTATCAACCTCCCAACCCTCACTGCCGCCAAATGACTGCTGGGACTCAGAGTGTCCGTCTGTCCACTATCAGCACGTCACTGACCCAGGACTCCGGAGCCTGTCCGGCGGGAACCACATCCCAGCCTCTCTCCCTGGATGGGATTCCGGTGCAACTCCAGAATTAAGCCAGATCCACTGTGTGTCTGTGAGGTGGGAGGGAACCAGTCTACCCCGCTACAAACCACGCGCACGTAGGGGAGGGCATGCAAACTCCACACGGACAGGTGCCCGAGGCGGGACCTGAACCCGGGACCCCGTGCGCGAGGCTTCGGCACTGACTGCAGCGCCACCGCACATGACCAGCTGCCCCAGGGCCCCAGAATCTGTGAGGCAGCAACGCTAAGCACTGCACCACCCAGAAACCTTCATCCAGCGTTACTTAACACCATGATTTTCGGCTATCGTCGGGGGGGTCAGGAGCCAGGCAGACGGCAGCAGCACCTGGAGAAACACAGAGTCCGCGACCTACAGAACTAGATGCTATGACCCGAGTCACGCTAAATTTTCACGCCCTGCCATGATAATTGACAAAGAAGAATAAACCGACGATAAGCGTTCTGAAAAACACACGGTGTTAAGTAACGCTGGATGAAGGTTTTTGTGTGGAGCAGTGCTCAGCGTTGCTGCCTCACAGCTCTGGAGGCCCGTGTTCAATTCCTGGGGTAGGGTACTATCAGTATGGAGTTTGTAGAGCATGTTCTTCCTGTGTTCGCATGGGTCACCTCCGACAATCCCAAAACATCCCGGTAGGTAAATTGGCTTGTGGGAAAATTGGCCCTCATGTCCGTGTCCATCCAGGGTGTATCCCGCCTTGCGCCCGCTGCTTGCCGGGACAGGCTCCGGCTCCCGTCAACCTTGTTCTGGACAAAGCAGTTTGGAAATGAAGGGACGGGACAGGCGTCTTACCCGGGGGTTAGTGGGCGCCACATGACAGGCCAGGAAAGCCAGCCTGTAGGATAAGTCTCTCACTCCCAGGGCTTTCAGGCCCTGGATACCATCAGCCTGCAACCCCTCCGGCCCAGTAACTTTACTGCTGGTCTCAGCCCGAATACCTGCACAGTGAGGTACAGTTGTACGCAGAAGTTTGGGCATCCCTGCTCAGACTGCACATTTCACTGAATCTCTAAGTGAAAAGAGGTTTAACAACCTCTGCAGGGTACAAACTTAAGCATGGCATGTTTCTGCACATTTTAATGCACAATTACTAATTAGCTGAATTTAATAGCTTGAAAAAAATAAAACTGTGAATGTGTACATGCAAAAGTTTGGGCACCCCGTCAGTCAGTACTTATTAACACCTACTATACCTACTGGTGGCACCGTGGCTAAGGATCTGCACCTGTGGCTGGAAGGTTACCGGTTCATATCCCGCGGCTGGCAGAGGAATCCTACTCCGTTGGGCCCCTGAACAAGGCCCTTAACCCCAACTGCTCCAGGGGCGCCGTATAAATGGCTGACCCTGCGCTCTGACCCCAAGCTTCTCTCTCCCTGTCTGTGTGCCTGTGTGTCTCATGGAGAGCGAGTTGGTGTATGCTAAAAGACAAATTCCTAATTGCAAGAATTCCAAGAAATTGTATATGACCAATAAAGTGATCTTATCTTATCTCTCTCTCTATTGATAGGTCACAGCTTCCAAACATTTCCTGTAGCCAGCTTAGAGTCTTTCTATTCTTGCTTTAGGATTCTTCCCCTTGCGGAGAAATAAATAAGGCAATAGTAATAGCGAAGGCCATTCGAAAATCTTAAACATGGTGCAATTTGTAAGGAACGCAGGGTGAAAAGATACATCACGGAAAGGCTCCCTCTGGACGGCACAGCTTTTCCCGGCTGGGAACACCCAACCACCTCCGGAGCCACGTGGGGCGCGGCGGCGTGATCTCGCCTGAGACGGAGAGCGCGGACACGTCCGGGACGACGATGAGCGTGCCGGTGAAGTCGCAGCGGTCCCCGGCCTGCGCGGTCTCCACGGCCTCGGCCCTCAGGATCACCTCCACGCTGCGCGGGATGGCGCCCCGGGGCAGCTCCGCCTGGGTCTCCTGTATGCGCACCTGCGAGGAGACACAAGCGCCCCAGACCGGCATCACCCAGCGACTCTGAACTCTTCACGCGGCATTTTCTCCCTCCTCCTCCTCCCGGCGCAGTGGCAGTGTCGCCGGCAGCTTCCTTAATAGCGCCGTTAATTACAGACCCAATCCCACCGCAGGAGGCAGAACTGGCTTTAACATACTCGTCTCCTGTTCACTGCTCCCCGGGGATACATTCCTACACTTCAAATCAATGCTTACAGAACTTCTCACGAATTTTACTGCAGCTTTCACACATTCTAGTATTGGGGAAACGAATACACAACACAGCAGCTACCCCTCAGTACGCCTGCTGTTCCGCTCATCGACGCAATTTCAGTTATCGGCCGAGCACACTTTTTGCTTCTCGGCTGTAGAGACGAAAGGACTTGCGTGTAACGTCGGAGAGCAGAAGGTGATCCTTAAGAAGAGGCGCCTGAGAATCGCCAGATAAAATAAAGTTAGTCTCTCTTGGCATTCTCCCCTAGCTATCCCCCAAAAAAGACCAGGCACACAAAGTGATCATTCACAGGTCTAAGATCCCGTCCTCTATAATGCATGCACTTCGACAGCATCTACGTGGCCGTGAATGCTCCTGGCACAGTGAAGGACACATCTGGGTAAGGAGACTCTACTGGACGATCCTTGGAAGTGGCACAGCGGATACGCGGGGTCCTCGGCCCAGGCGAGCCGCCTACCTTCTGGAAATCCACGAAGCGCGACTTGTTGGTGTCCAGCAGGAAGCGGCGGCGGTTGGCGCAGACCGGGTTCTTGCAGACGGTGGGCTGCGTGTACTTGAACTGCTGCTCCACGTCCCTGATGACGGACTGGCAGTCCAGGCACAGGAAGGTCCCGCTCACCAGCTCCGGGTGGACCGGGTGGGTCCGCACCACCTGGCCGCCGATGCGCAGCAGGGTGCCGATCCTGGCAGCGGACAGCTCGCGGATCCTGGCGGGAGCCGAGCGGACGGCAACAGCTCAGGGAGGAGCGCAGAGCCTGCGACCCGCCGGGAACCCGTTCTCCCTCACCTACACCCCAGATCTCACCACACTTTCATGCGCTGTCATAATAACTGGCAAATAAGGCTAATCAGGGCAATCAAAATTTGCATAGCCTAGTTTCAAAGTGCATAAAATATTTGTGATCTAACTGGAGCTAAGGCTCTAATTATTGTTACAGGACACTAGAGAGAACGATGATCTGTAACAATTTAGGGACAAAGATAATACTCCCCCCCGCCCCCTCCAGTAAATACCTAGTTGCTGAAATTGTACACATCATAAAAGTCCCGTAAAAAGCAAAACAATCAGCTGTGAAAGACACGAAGAGCAAACCACTGATCGAAGCCGCTAACTCGTCTGAGGAGGGGGTTTCCCGTTCCGTCTTCCGCCGCGCCCTGGGAGCGCCGCCGCGATTCGGCACTGAAAACCCTCTCCTCTCCGAGAGCGGCCTCCGAGAGCGGCCTCCGCAGCCCCCGGCGGACCGATGTCGAGAAGCACAGCGGCCGGACCGAGAACATTAAAGAAACGGGACTCGCAGATACTTTACTTCTGCCTGGCAGGGAATTCGGAGAAGGCCACGTAGAATTCCTTGGACGGCGGGATATTGCCCCGTTCCCGGGCGAAGTGGCGGACTGCTCTACAGAGGTACGGGTAGACCCTGAAGTGGGGAGGGAAAAAAAAAACCCATCGGATTGACACGATGCTTACGAAGACCAATCGTTTTCGCGGTCGAATTCACCGCAGATCGAATGACGTGGGTCACTACGGTGAACTCGTTGACTTTGGCAGGGAATGGGGGGCTCGGATGTATTTGGCCCGGATCCTTATCGATTTAAGACTCTAGTGACGACCAGGACGGGGCTGGAAGTAACCTCCTCTCGCCACCTACCGGAATTTGTAAACCGGGGCGCGGAACGGAGGAGAGGCGTGTCCATTCGCTCTTTCGATAAGGGGCTCGACTCGCGGGTCAGCGGAGCGATACCTGCCTGATCCGGCACCACCGCGCTCTGCCAGCCACGCCACCGTTAAGACTTTCATCTGGGCCGAGCCGGAGGAAGAAGGCGTGTCGGCGGACCCTACCGGTAGAAGTCCTCCTGGACGGCTGTGGACAGGGGCTGGTTAAAACGCTCGATGTTGCCGAAGCTCACGGTCAGCGTGTTGCGCTCCGGGCGGACGAGCTCCTCGGCGTCATGGAGGTACATGGCCTCCCCACTCGGGCTCTGGAACCTGCGGCCGCCAGAAGAAGGGACCAGATCTGAGAACGGGGGGGGGGGGAATAATTTTCTAATAAAGCGGGAAATGTTTTCCTTTATTTTTTTGAAATACTGAAAAATACTCATGGGACTAATCTAACATTTCAAGCAAATTTTCTTTTCCCGTCAAGACGAATGAAAAAAAATGGAGCTATAACGGCGAGTCAACCGGTTTACTTCTGTATTGATGAGCACCGTTGACTGCGAATGATGATCACAGTGACTGGCACTTATTCGGGTGCCCTAGTTCCTATGCCGTTTACACAAGGAGGCGCTGATGAAGTAGTGTTGTCAGCTGTGGCTGTTGCAGGATGTGTGGCGTGGCTTGTCTGGACTAAGTACTGTACTATGATGACAGTACGCGAGTTTTAACCAATGTTTACTATTCTCATCATACTGGTGTATGCTGAACTACATTTGACTTTGCCGCCTACATTGTAGTGACGATTAGGTAACCATCACCTGTAGAGTCACGCGCCTCTAAGTGGCGTTCGAACCCGCCCCCGCATAAAACCGAACGCCCACCCGCTCGACTTGTTCTGGCGTAGAGGGAACCAAGCTGCCCTCCTTCAAAGTTTCCGAGCCAGCGTATCCTGGTTCCTTTCAAGGAGAGGCTGGACGAGTGACCTGGGTCCCTTAACCACAAGCCACCAAACAAAAGCTGTAGCTGTAATGAGAGGCCAGCTTTCTCTGCAATCTTCCTTAAGGTCTCGCGTTATTAATTCGGAGAGCATCCTGACGGCAGAGGTCGAGCACAATCAAAGCTCAGCTATAAATGGTGTACTGTGGATAGAGGTCCGACCAAGGTCAAAGCTCATTCCACTTCACAGAATCACCAGGTTTGAGAGTTTGTTGATAGTTTATATGCTATTTATCACATTGTGGCAGGATTTCATTTCGTTACAATTTACTAGTGTTTTGAGGAAATGCGTGCCTGGTTCTTTTTGCGTCAATTCTCATGTGGCCAGGCACCGACACTTACTGTACATGGGACTTCACCTTTGACCTCTTCATTACCCGCCTGTCCCACGGTAACCTTACACTACGAACATAACACCGGTGGCCAGCCGACACTTTTAATAGTGCTACCAATGATTATGATAAATAAAGGAAGACAGTTCGTCCTTAATTTACGAACGCAGACCGTCTTCTCGAGCAATGGAAACCGATTTGAAAATTATGTGCAATTTGTTATTTCACTTTTGAGTCATTTTCTTATAATCCTTCTCTTATACATTTAAGTTAACAAGCGCAAGGTATTTTAGAGAAGATAAACAGAAATATGATACAGACTCAACAGTTTAAACATTACAGCAGTGAAAAATATGCGTGCACTCAAACGTTCTCCAGAGCAAAAGTACTCAGTTTCCAATACTCTTTGCAGAGGCCAAAAAGAAACAGATACCGTATCTTAAATTAAAATGTCAAATGCAATCCCGTTAGTTCATACAACAGTTAATACATGAGATGACATTTTAACATAAAACTGTCAAGTTTAACTTTTTTTGTTCGGAAAACAGCCGCACGGTATTGTGGTACTTTTAGTAGCGGCGTTGGAAAAACCAGCACGCCTACTTACTCTTCCAAGAACTCGAGAAAAAGCTTCTGACACTTTTCGGAAAGGTCGTCCTTAATTTGCACCCCCGAGGCTGTATTTTCGACCAGGGCCTCCATGGCAGAAGTTGAAATCGCTGTAACGGACGGCCGGCGTCGAGGTTCGCTCTGCTAGACCCTTCTACCTCCCAGGAGCGAGCAGGTGACGTCCGGTCCTCACAGGTGAGCCCTGACGCAAACCGCATCGCCGCTCCCAAGACCGTAATATGGGCGCGTTAATTAGCCATGTGTGCGGAGAGGTTAATGCGCTCCAGCTCATGACGCTGCTCCTAAAGTCGAATTCACTGCCATCTCGGTTGAACAGCAAGGTACTTTAGTAAAAGATAATTCACTTGAGCGGGTTAATAACAAGGCTCTGCGGTATAATATAACGAAAATATTAGTTGTGTAACTAAGTTAAGTGTCGTTCTTGTAATCTTCGTATACCCGATGAGATTTTAATCTTGGTTTTTGCCATTTGTTGCCTTCTTTTCTCCCTGTACGGACCTGTGCGTCGGCACTTAAGGGCGCAGCCGTGGTAATGTGTGTTATTGACTTATAGGACCTACAGTGAGCAATTTTTGTTCTGCAAAAAGAAGTACCTCGAAACCAGGAAGGCAACAGCGCGAAACAAATTGGTCTCGAGTTCTGCAGGTTTTTACTCCACTCTAACCCTCCATGGTTTTATTTAAATTACATTGTTTCGCTAAGGGCCTCTTTGAATGTCTTGGTAATTATGATAGGAGCAACCTTCGAGATGTACAAACCGCAAAGCTGTCATTAAGAAATATGACCAAGCTTTGCACGGTGTCAAGAAACACAGAATATTTATTGTGTCTGAAGGAAAACATATACAGTATTATGTTTTATGTTTTGTACATATACAGTACAGTTTTATGTTCTCTTGTAATGTCACCTAGCAATATTTTCATTTGGTTCAGTTGTTCATTTGTTACCTACTGTATGTGACAACGTTTTTACCACATCACTGGCAACAAGAACAGTATTTATTAAGAGCTTGTCTCTTTTCTTTTAACACATTTTGTGTTATCTTGATTTAAAAAAAGTTTAGGATTGAAGGCAGCATTAAAAAATGTCAGACACCTACAGTGTATTCCTGGCAATGAAGTGTGTGTTCCAGTGAAGTATTCTTACCTTATTGTGAAATAAAGTGTTGGGTCAGTAGTAAGATTCTCAGTAGTAAGAAACTTTTGCAGTCTGATGTTTTGACAATAAGTTTTATAATGCACATAATGTTTCCACACAAAAATAATTACTGTAGTTTGAAAATGTTATCTTTTCACATGCTTAACTTGGAATACAGCCATTGCTAACAAGAAAGAGATCACTTTAACTTTACTGCTAATTTACACAGTCAGTTTTCTTTTCAAAAACTGAAGAGAGAAACCTAACATTTTTTTTAAATGCAGACTTCAAATTACCATACCTCACTAATAGTGCCATATGCCTGTATGAGACAGAAAACCTCAGTTTTACTTTTCATATTTATAGCCAGATATAGCAAAACTATAATAATAATAATAATAGCCCTACCTTTTCTTATAGTGCTTATTAATGTAAAATCTTTTAAGCTACAAAATAAAGTCTAAACAAAAGAAATGTTTATTAAGATCTGTGGCTCATTTAAATGAGACTAAAGTAGTAAGAAAGCCAATAGTGACAGTTTTAGTGCAAATGGCTGTTATTATTGTATTAATCTGTGACAGCTGCTCGTGGTTTCTCCTTTAACTAGAAATTAGCCCCTCCTAGCACCTAGAGAGAGATTCTGGTGTTAGTTTGACTAAAAATGCATTTGATCAAATTATACTGCAGCTCCACTGGCTGAAATATAAAATACACAATAGACATATTTATGCCCCTGCCTCTACAAATTATGTGATAAATGAAAATGCTTTTATCTGTCTAATCCTCCATTTATCTATTTTTCATTTTTGAAATGAAACCCCAAATTAAATGTCTAAATTTAGGTATGCTATGCAAGAAAAATAATCCTTTTTACTCTTGGTGACTTGGTCTGGTCATACATTCTCCCAGAGTTTCACACAGTTGTGTCCTGGGGGTCATGTTCCAGTGCTTATTCTGACCATCCCACTGGGCTGACCAGAACCAGGACAGACCCTTGTGGATGCCCGGTACACTTCCTCCTGGACAGAGGTCTTCACAAGCCACAGGTCATGAAGAGTCATGCATTCAGGGAGCTGTGGAGCAGAGGCCTGCATGCGGGAGGGAGATCTCTGTGTTTGGGCACAAACCTATAAGACTCAGGGCTCCGCCAAGAGTTTCTTGGCTCCTGGCTTTCCTAAGAAAGATAAATGTTTTGGCATGAGCTGAGACTGTGAAACAGCTCCCAATGCAGGAACACAGCCCTTAACCATGACTGCTGAAGCTTCAGGAATAATTACTTCTGACAAACTGAAGTTAGGATTACAGTGCCTGACAAATCTCTGCAGCAAAGCAGCTGACAAGAGGCAATTACCTGAAAGACAATTTTGATTCTGTTTACAATTAGTTCTTTAAAATGAGACCAGGAGACACATGGTAAATCTTCAGCTTTCATATGGAATGCATTAAACAGATGTTTCAGGCACCCCTATAATGCCCCAGGAATGTCTCAAGTTTGTGTTTATTTTACTGCTAAATTCTAAATAAATGTTCAATTGATTCAACACTCATTCAGGTGCAACTCACTGCTGTCAGTCAGCTTCCTTCTCCATGAAGTTTATCGGGGTGTTTTCACATCTTTCCACCTGGCGTGAACTGAAAAGTCCGTATTTGACAATTGGCTTCTACTCCTGTTTTTTTCCATGTGTTAACAATTTAAAGTGTATTACGTTCTTGTCTACAGTTAAATGAAAGCAGGAATAATAAAACCGGAATAAAGAACTAAATTGGTGTACAGATCCAAGCAGGATTAAGGAGGATTAAATACATGTGCTGACTGGGCATTCAATTATTTGTGTTAAAACCAATACATCCATAAATTAAAAATATAAATTAAAGCAAAATACAATATACTATGCATGTATTGTGATCAAACATTTGTGATAATGTTGCTTACTCCATTAGTCAAGATGAATGTGACATGTTTCTCATAGAGATCATTCAGGTTAGAAAAGTTATATTTTACTGCTCCTTAAAAATGTTTAAGCCCTGGTTCAAGGACTTTTCACCAAGGGTTCTTGAGATTTCAAACCTTTGTGCAAGAAAATGTCGTGTTGTCCGTCAGATAATCCCAGAATAAATTAATTAGCTAATTTCACTGACAAAGCTAACAAATTGCAGGACTGAAAACAAAAATAAAATGATCTGGAATTGCTTTGCAGAAAGAGCTGTGGACCTTGGCAAAAGCATAAGACTTCACCTAGTCTGAGCAGCTCAAGGTCAAAGCTGAAAGTATTCAAAAACATCAGGAGAGTGACTTCAAAACTCGCTCTGATCCCTCGTGTTCATTGCAGAAGTTTAGTTTTACAATGCAGATCGGGCAGCGTGTTGGTTACAGCAGTGTTTCTTTCCTTGTTCGCCTACAACATACTGCAATGTGGAATAATTCCCCCTTTTAGATTATTTTGTTTTGTTTTATTAACAAATTTATGTAGTCAAGTTTGATGAATAAGCAACTTCTCCGGGGGAGAGAGTGCTTACAGTGCAGAAGAATGACACACATTATTGAACAAATGCAGCCGTGGATGGTGAGAGGTGTTTATGTGTCGAGAGAGAGTTTCTGAATACAGATGAACTGTGTTGAAGACAGGGGTTTGTGTCCAGTAGCAAATCCCCAGATTAGTTTTGAAATCCACACACATGACAGCTAGAGAACGGAGGAGACCATTGAGAACGTCCAGCGTCTGGGCATGCAACATACTTTACCAAAGACTTTGACTGCTTAGAGTGCTTTGCTAATAGTCCACATTGACAGCTCCAGGTGATCTTCTCTAGATAAGTTGAAGGTGGTATCCACATCCAATTCACCCCCCCTTGCTCTGGCAGAGTACAATGAGCACCTGATTAACATACGTCTACACAGTGTGGGCAGCGCTGTGCAAATGTGTTCAACTCCTCCCAGTGATGTTCCCTTATGTGCCGTAAATAATGTACCGTATACACATTTTTTGAAGAGAGCGTTTTTTCATCAAAAATCGCTTTTGAAAGTGGAAGAAGTTAAAAACTCAAAACGGCAGAACCTGTAAAACAAAAAACAAACCCGAAGCTGTATTAATAACAAGTGTGCAAGGCACGGTATTTAACCCCGGGTTTGCTCATTAAATAATTCATGCTGGAATGAAAGAGGAGGCAGCCGTGCTGTGGAAATACCCAGACGTTTGCTGAGTAATTCCTGCCAGGGAGCCGGGCTGTTTGATCAAGGTGTCCCCCCACTTCACATCCATCCATTCCCAAATATACACAGTGGAAACTGCTCATGGTGGAGTATGTAACGGTCCAGCAGTTTCACACCTGCTCCACAGCCCAGACAGGTGGCTTGTGTTATTGAGACTACTTATGCACTGGTGCTCACTCCGTCAGAGCACTGCAGTTCCTCCCTCTGCCAAAACCGAATCTTCCCGCATGTGCGTCTCCAGGCAAGCACAGTAAGTGAGTGAAACGGTCGCGAAGATACAGGAAGTCGAATCTTTGCAACGACTGCATCTTGCACCAGCGAGCTTCAGAGCCCCAGCTGCTGAGTCACGGCAGCGGCCACTCTGCCACCGATCACATCAGTGCGAGGCTGTGCCAGTTTTAAACACTTGTCTGAATTCTCTGATTTCAAGTGTTTTCAGGGCACATTTCTCAGATTTTTGCAACAGTGCAACACATTTCCTTTGCTTTCTTTCCACGCCCAGATCAAGCCTTGGTCAGTTTTCAAAAGAGCAGGTTTCTGTTAAGTGAATCAGTCCATCCCATCAGCATGCCATCGCTTCCTGGCTGCAGACCTAAGCTTTTAATATCAAGATTTTTTTACCTAAATTGGGTCCTGGCATCACTTTAGTTTTTTTTTTAAATTACATTTTATTCTTTGTCGTTCATTTTTCACTCTCAGCATCCATCTTGATGTCATTTCAGTCTGCAGTGGGGAAGTGGTGACCGGCTGGCGGGAGGGTTAACATCAGGTCGGAACTGCAGGAGCGAAGCGTCGCGTGTCTGATGGCGCTGCACGCT